TCAACAGTCCTGGTTCCAGAAGTAATCTTCCCATTCATTTTTCCCGCAGACTTTTATAGAAAATTGAGGCCAACCAGCAGTAAGGTAACTAATGTCCATAATGTTTAATAATTATTTTGAAGCATCTTTAAAATGTAAAATTTGGCGAATGCTTTGATAAAATGTTTGTTTTTGTACTTTTAAAGTGTCACTAATTCATATTAAATAATATTAAGGTCTCGTGGTCATTGTCTCATGCAAGCTTTAGTAGTAATTGTGGTGAAAATTTGTAGTAACATTCTTTACTTACAGACAGAATGAGGTTCCAAAAGTCTGTTTCTAGAATGAAAGGTCCTATATTATGCAAAATTTACTTGATGAGCTTTTAGCTGTTTTATACTGTTATTACCTCCTCAAAAACATACCTGGAATTTTGTTTTGTTTCATTCACACATGTTTGAGTAATTCTGGATTATTAGTCTTCCTACATCTCCAAAGTTCAAAATGCTTTGTTTCACCTTCTGATGTCATGAAACTGTAGTTTTCAAGCTAACAGCTACCTTTTACCTTTCATTTACTCAAGACTGGAAATTCCAGGACTAAAATGATCCACATGATTCCAGTGAAGGTGTATGGAGTTTAAAATACAGTGGAGCACTTCCTGTACTATAACATGAGTGTTATCTGTCTGAGAGAAGAACTCAGTATCCTATTAGGTATGGATTTGTGTGATAAGCATGTAAGAATGAAACTAAACACAACCTCCAGTGTGATTCTGATGAGGATACAAAATTATAACAAATATCAGAAAATAGAATAATATGGGTCCTTTGAGCTATACTTGTTTATTTATCACTCACTATGCAATTGAGTATAACAAGAAATATAATCTTCAGAAAATATGCTTGCTATGAACTCAAATAATGAAAAAAACAATTTTAGGAGCTCCTAAACTTTCCACTGTGTCCATACAGGCGAGGGGAAATGCTTGGAGCTGGAGCTATTAACAAAGCAATGCTAACAGTTTGCTCTGCTCTTTGTCAATAAGCGGCCGTGCTGTCTCCTACATTTACACAATCTCGTAACAAGAATCTGTGTCGTCAGCAAGACATCTCCAGACTCAGAGTTGTGCGTGTCCAGTGACTTATCTGATGGAGGGCTATTTGCAGACGGTGGAGGGGTATGTGCACTTAATGACAAACAGACTCCAGCTAATATACTAGTAAAACAGATGATGCCAGATACTGTATATTCGATACATGTGAGACATCGACAAGGCCAACCAGATATTTCAAATGGGATGTAAACCGGACTCAGTGGAAAAGCTTATTATTATTATCATTATTATTATTATTATCATTATTATTATTATTATTATAAGGCTTTTGCTTTTGCATCAGACAATGTTCAATAAGTATTTAGCACAGGATTGAGGGACAGTTGAACAGTGACTCTACACAGTTGAAATAGTGAGTCTGGATTGTGTCAGATTGTGTTGACTCGTTATCACAAGTGGAAGTGACAAAGATCGCAGCAATTTTATGTAGTGTTAGATTTTAGGTGCAATTTTGAATTAGGTTTGAAAAAGGGATGGTCAGCTGAAGTTCAAAGTACTTCATTTTCAATTGTTTAATCAAGCCTAGCCTTATCAAGTCTATATAGTCCAGTTGAGTTTAAGTATGTATGTATATAAAATAAGTTATAAACATAACCTGTCCATGTAAAAAGCCATTATACATATAATAAACCTAATTAATGCATTTCACTACTTTTTAAGTTAGTAGAGGAAATAGATGCAGGGAACTATCTTTGTTTATTTTTGTGAGACATAAAACACAAAATGAACCAACAGAACTTCTTTGTCAAAACAAAGTAAAAAGACTTGAATATATAAAAACAAATGAGAACAGGAAAGAATGCATGATCAAAAGAGAAGTTACTTGTGAAAATGAATTGTAAAATTGTGTGGCAAGCAACACAGAGTTGGAGGATGGCAAGATCAAAAGCCAAAATCATGAAACAAGTTAATTATCTGTTATGCGAAGATATAAAAGGTGCTGCTGAATTAGCGACTAGAAAGTTTGGGCATAAAGTCTAACTTAAAAACACATTAGCAGACTGTATACACTACTGGACAGTACCTCTCATTATAATCTCATGAATCTACACGCAGGTATGTGTTAATGAGTAAGCATAAAATTTTCTTCATACCCATATTTGTTTGGAGTTTTAGCTTTTTGGTTGGAGGTCCATCGCCGCCTTGTTTCTATGGATATGTCACTGCTCTGCCTGGAATAATCAGTGACATTGTTCCATGTATGACATTAAACAGCTCTACCTGACATGTATGCAATTACATGTGGTTTTATAGCTGAAAAACACCTAGAAAAACAGGTATTCTGACAGTGAGTGGGGTTGTCTTAGCCTGATTCATCAGCAGGTTTCACTTCATAGAAACCATCTGACCTCACAGCATTAGAATTTGTTCGCTTGACGTTAGGAGGGTACTTTTTTTAGTTAACCAATCGCTGCTATTTGGTCGTGACGTATGTAATGCACCGTAATGCTAACGGTGCTAACTGGTATATAAAGCTTTTCCCAAATCCCATAGGAAGAAGGGCAATAACGTCTTTTCCCTTGATAAAATTCATGATTACATTCTATTTGTTCCGGCTTTAAATCCTCTATCTCGGGAAACACAGAATGTATGGCTCTTTGCTGATTGGGAGGTGCCCGAACTCGCACTTCCGGGGTTTTTGCGAAATTGTGTATTCCTGACCTAGTTGCTGGAGAGAAATAAAATTGAGCAGAGGCACTAGGTGGCGCCAGCCTGGCTAGGGTTGCCTCTCCACAGACATGACATATAACTTGGCCGAGTTTGGTCTCCATGAAGATAGAAATATTTAATGACATACTGTGAAACATTCCATACAAAGCAATAACATTTCTGGAGAAAAGCATTTGACAGACTCTCCACCAGAAAAATTACACAATGTACTTTTAAGTATTGATCAAATGAGACATATATATCACTTGGGAGATATGACTGATTGGAAACATGGACAGCATTCATTTTAGTTACAGGACAGAAATGCGTATTGTCATGACCAATAGGGAGGTATAACAGCAAATCCAAAACAGAATTGGATCTCCCGTGACAACTCTATTCTCCCTCCATGTTGCAATGAGTTTACCCAGCTCCTAGTCTCTTCCGTACCCAGCGGCGGTTTGTGCGCTCCCTGCTATCATCACTACCTGTAGATAACAAAGCCCGATGATTATCCCCAAACACACAGCCCTCCCCACTGAGCCCAGCAACCAGCAAACACACTGTATTCTATGTGGAGACCAAAATAGTCCCATACAGACACATGAGGGCAGAACCACCACATCTAACATCTCTTTGTTCTCAGCACTGGCCAGAGGCTGCACCCGCTTCCACTCGGCAACAGCACTAGTCGGATGTGTTTGTTAGAAAGAATACAGAGCTACAGCAGACTCCCGGATAACAAAGACCATGACAAGGGCCTGTAGGTGCCCTCCGGTCCTGGGATGTCCCACACTTTGATCCACACAGGCAGAGGTACTCTGAGCCAAGCCATGAATATATACACACCAGGCAGACCATATGCTGAGGCCATTACTGCCTGCTGGATTAAATGGGATTGCTCTCACTAATCATGTCAAATGTAATGACCTCATGTAGCTTTACTCTTATGGCTTGTCCTCGTGTCACACTATCATAGTATAGATACTTTGCAGCTGTCATCAACATTCCCTGACGGCGTTATGCTAAGTGTAAGCTCTGTTCTCTGTTACTCAAGCTAGACTTCAAACTGAGCTTTGCTTTAACACAGTCTATAAAGTCAAGTTACAGGTCAGCTCTGTGGATACCATAGACTATAAAAAAGTGGACTAAGCGAGTGTGACGTCACCAATTGCAAACTGTTATAGGAGCAAATTTGGAGCCAGGCACTATATTATGAATAGGATTTTTTTAATGGACAATATACAGGAAAAGAACACCAAGGTCATGTAGAGCAGGTTCATATGAACATTTTACGATGAAAATGATGAGGCTCACAGCAGCAGTTACAGAAAGAGGGATGAAAATATTCCAATGTAAGTCAATGGGAGCCAGGGTCAGTAGGAGCCGGAAGAGCCGCGTGTGAACTTCCTATTTGGAATGCTACAGCTAGCGTGTTAGTTATGTCCATTTATATGTACAGTCTATGTTGGAGACGCAAACCCGCTCAGCAAGATATATATTGTTTAATGCCATACTGAATACTGAAGAACATTCCAGGCAAAGTAATAAAATCTTTATGGTGGTGGACCATAACAAAAGTTAGTGCACTCAAGAATCTCATTGTGTATTACCGAAACAAGTACACACTTAGTGGCCTTGTTTTTTTCATCCCTGTGTTACATTTGGTTGCTGATGGGTACTTGAGCCTCCTCTCGGCATTCAGAGACATGCACCATGGTTAATTAGGGACTCGAGCCACTAGTGGATTACAGTCAGATTCAATAGTTGTCAGATATGTCTCAGCCCTTTGACTAAGACACCAGTGTTCCTCACCTCAGACCTTCAGAGCAGCTGATACTAAAATTAAACCAGAACGTACTAAAAAATGCATGCAAGTAGAGGATAATAGCTAAATAAAGTTTAAAAGAGGTAGTGTAAAAAAAGTTTGAGATCACATCACAAACTTCTATAGGCCAATAATATTAAGGGGGCAGATAAAATGAATATTGTTGAAGTGGAGGTTTTTGTTGTAATAAACTAAGGCATTTGTGAATTTACCTTTTGGATATTTCTTGTGAAAGCTCAGTGACAGGGAACTCTGACTTTTGCCCCCATCTGGGAGAATGATGTAATTGTAGAATTTGAAAAAAACTTCAATATCATCTGTATTAAACCTTCCTCAAATTGGAGAGAAATGAGGTTGTACTTTCCTCCTCAACAGTCCAGGCAGTACAGAAAAAACAAACCATTTTAAGCAGATGAGCAGTGTTACCTTCTCCTGATACTGTCGGCGGGAGGAGTCCAGAGACTGGATGAGTGCAGTGGCGTGTCCGATGAACATGGCGTAGCAGGTGGCGCCCACGATCATACTGAGCATGGTGAGCCAGATGTCCGACATGCTCTCAGGCGCTTGCCGACCGTACCCGATACACAACATGTGACTCATAGCCTTGAACAGAGCGAATGAGTACAGCTCACTCCAAGAGTCATTCTGAAACACATTAGACAACAGAGGATGGGCAAAGTTCATACATTAAAATATGCAAACAATATGCCTAAATTGTGTTTTTTGATCAATTCTGTGACAGTAATACAGTCTAAAGACACTACAGACTGCATCATAGATAGCAATTGTCAGGTCTTGCTACGCCCAGATTTCAACCCATTCTGGTAAAGGTACAACACATTTGTATAAACAAGATACAGTTTCCAGAGAGCTACACATGATAACAATTTAAAACTAACATTTCTCTAATTGTCAACCGACTGATCACTTGTGTTATTACTATCAATGACATTTGAAATTGGGATGCATTTACAATGAATACAGAGTTAACGATACCAAATTCATATGCATGTATTTTTATTCCATGACTACAAAGTTGCTCCTCTTTCACGATGAGATTATTGGCATCTTCAAAACCCTCTCTGCTGTATTTACAAACATGATCCAGTGACAGTTGTTACAGAACTCTGGTGTAGCTGCTGGAGGCTAGCTTTGAAGCTGCTCTCTTAACTCTCATGTCTTTCGAAGAACATCTCTGTCTAGTGTTAATCTAATGAGCGTCTGCCTTCTCCTGCAGGCCTTTTGATTGGCTCCCGCTCTGTCCATGTTAATAGTCTTGTTCATCACAGAGCACTCACAGGCCTGGTCCAGCCCTCACATCCGCCTTTAAACAACACTGTCCAGATTTGTGTGCAGGGACAAAAGCTGATTGGCTCATGACAATGTGCAGCTTTGCGTTTCTTCCTCGCCCTCTTTGCATGTTATTTGAAATTCAAATGCAATTGTGTTCTGAAAAGAGAGTGGACAAGCACTGGCAGGAGACAGCAATCACAGTCATGGAAATTAGCTTTTCGACAGGTGACGAAAAGGCTGGAACACAAAATGAGTATTCGGATTGAAGAACTGAGATCTTTGTCGGGCAGTTTCTTTGTTCTATCAGTTGTTTTTGTTTGTTTTGGTGAGAAAATAAAATATGAGAAATTGTGTGTGTTTCCTATAGTCTAGTATAGTATTTAGTCTAGATAAACAGTACTTAAAATGTTTTGGGTTTTTTAGAATATTTTACTGCATGACAAATCAGTATATTTATGCTCGGTAAGACCCATTATTTTGCTTTTGCTAGTTTAATTAGTTCTTTTACTATTCTACTAGGTCTTTGTTATGATGAACCATTCTTATAATTTGTAAACTACTGTGTATAAGTACCTTCTTTTTTGGATCAATAGTTTGCTTCTGACCTTAATAAGCACCTTTGGGACAACCTTAACTTTTTCTTTATCTAAAATTAACCTGGATTATTTACAAAGAACTTTGCTTTAAAATTTAAACTGGAGGAAATACACCAATGTCAAATGTCACTGCTACTGAAAACATCTTGTACGTTAAACACCTCAACAATAGTGCTTCTTGGTTATTGTGAAGCAGTATTTCCCTACAGTTTCCAGTTTGTAGTGCGTCCTCTTGTTCCTCATCCCCAGTGCCCCGGGTGGTTCACAGTCAGAGCTGCTCCCTCCAGTTGCCCATCAACATGCCACAGGCTGCAGCAGCGGGGACCTGAGCCTCACCCAAGGCCAAAGCACAAATCAACACCTCCTTCCACTCCACTGCCTCTGTCTGTCTCTGCAGACGCCTCACACATCAGTATACGGCACGCATTTCACTTTGCATATTTAAGACCGGTCCTGGACGGAGGGGTTTATGGGTAAGATTACACAATTTCAGACAATATGTGTCTATAATGAATATTGCAGCGTGAAATATTGAAAATATTAATTCAGGATAGTGATGGAATATTGAATTATAATACCTTTGAAAAAGAAGAAAGTGGGATACAATTTAAATGTTTTATCTGACCTATCTACATACATGACCTATGCAACATGGTTGAACAATTAAGTACAGTTAATGATTAAACTGTGTGCAATATTACCTTATTACTAATTAAATAGGCTTATTTAATGCATAAAGATGTCAAATTTTATTCATTGAATCACAGAAACTCAAAGCCAAAGATAAGGACATGATTTAAGAAAAGAATGTTCACCTCTTGGGACACATTTACCTCTAGCTCCTCCAAATCATGTTTTTCTTCATCCCATTAGTCTATCATTGAGCAGTTTCATCAAAAGCCAAAGTTGCCATAGTGTAGCACATATGAAACTCGCTCTCCCACTATAGGACTGAGTTCAGAGCAGCTGTATGCAGACATTGCATTTGCTTTAAGTAGCAGATAAGAGCTTATTCCACCTGACAAGTGTACAGCTGTCTCTTAGCATTGGAAATTACAACACTCATTGTAACGCAATAAACTGATTCTGCAGAGAAGCCTCAATGAGCAGAGGAAGGAAAAATGAAATTAGTTTAGTCTTCATTTTATTTGCTGTGGACTTCATTGGTGGAGGGTTAATTGTTTTAAATACACTCAGTGTTAGTTATGGGAGAGTATGATGTATTATGGTGAAATTATAGAAGTGAGAGAACGTGCATGACATGAACTCTCTATAAGATACTGTGTGTTTGGGTGTGCCAGTGCTGCTGACACAGAGCAGCTGGAATCTGACTGTCTGTAAGTGACAAGTAAGCAAGTCTGCTCCATCTGTGAGGACTAAGACTAAGATTTATAATATGTAACCTGTATAAAAGACCTTGTTTGGTGTTGAGATTTAATCATTTGTACTCAACTCCTGTATATACAGAGAAAGAAAAACATCTGGATACAAAATGACAGGCACAGTTTATATATTGTTGTGATTATGAGTTTAAAGTTGGATTATTCAGCATGTTTTAATATATGCATTTGCCTATATAGAATAAATATTCATGTTTAAAGGTACAGTATGTAACTGTATGTAAAGTTACATACTGTGGCTTTACATTGATTTTAACTGTGTTTTTATGTAACAAACTAATAAAGAATAGGTTAATCCTGTGACACCCAACGGATGTTATTAGTATCTTATATGTTGCACTCAAAAAGCCTGTGCTCCATATTAAAACATGAGGAGTCGACTTCCTTCACAGACATGTGTTGGTGGAACATCCCAGCTGGCAGATGTTTGCTTACAGGCGTTCAGAGGAGTCAGCCATGCAGCTCTAACCAACTACAGATGAGACCAGGAAATAACATAGACAGGCACAGGTCTAAAGAAGACCAAAGAGAAAGTCCAGGTGTGACAGAAGATGCATTTGATGTGCATTTGATGTGGCCCTTGAAAGAGGTCAGAGAGTACACAGAGGATGTGAAGCATGAAGTTTATGTTTAAAAGGCTCTATAGAATACATTATTGTTTTCCACTTAAACTGGATCAAAGCAGACAAGCAGGAGGCCACACTGCACAGTGCATATGCTGGAATGGATTATTCTTGTTATGTAAAGTGATAACAATATCATTTGATATAATTGCATTTCACCTCAGGCATAATAAAAGCTTTTAATTGAATTAGGAAAAAAGTACAACCCTAATGCCTCTCTTTGTTGGGGTTTTGCCACAAAATGTTTCCACATAAACCCAAAACAGAAGGACTTTATCAAACATGATTCAGAAACATGTGGACAACATTGTGCTGTTTGTCATTGTTTAACCTGGACTGTTCCGGTGTGGCTGGCATTAAGCTTATTTATCTTGCATTTATTCATCTATAAGTGTTTGGATTATTTCAAAAAATGCCTTGAAAATTTTTATTTTTACTGTGAGTGGGCTTGCCTCTACACAGATCTGCATGTAACCTGGCCAGGTGGCATCACATGTTCGAGTACATCTCGGACATACAACAAGGACACAGAGCACATACACCCTCCAGTTAGGTCATTCTGACCATCTCTGATGGGTCCCTGAGTGCTGCACTGTGGTCATCCACTCCTCGTGAGTGACAGCTTGCCCTCAGGCACAATAAAGTCCACAAACAAACAAATGAAGGCCATGCTAGTCCTGAGCACATGCTGCGGCTGTTTCCAAACTGCACCGGAAGCAGGCCAGACAGTCTAGTTCTGGAAATCCCACAGCTCTTTTGTTTGTAAGCATTTCACCAGTCTGTAGCCCATTTTACACAAACTTTCAAGCAGGTTCGTGCTCCTGTAAAGCTCTGAAAAATGACACCAGCTTTAGTAAAATACCAAAGCAGAGTTACTAGCAGTGCATCATGGCTAAATGTGACACATCAACTTTTCTTCTCCAAATGGGGTCGGTTTCACAGGGGAAACTTGCCCCAATAAGACTGCAGGATTATCCAGGCTAAGCCACCGAGTTTATCATATAGCTATAGAATGAGGACCGACCTCCAAATAAATCACAAAGACAGAAAAAACAATATCAGCGCATTCTATTAGTACAATATAACTGCTCATTTGACACTCCAGTTGGTAGTACTTTACCTATCACAATAAATGCTACATCAACTTACAGTTACAGTTATTTTTCATAGAGGGAACCATACATTTTTGGGGGTCAATATTTATCGTGTGTATGTTGGGCGTTATTCATGAAACGTTCTTATGGACAAATTTGTACTGTATGCTAAGGCTTTCTTGCGAACATTTTTGGCATTCACAAAACTTTTTCTTAACTGAAAAGCTCTTCTGGAAGTCCTACGAATAGTCAGCAAGAACAAGTCGTACGAACAAAAATTCTACTGTTTTAAAATATTATTACTCTGCTAATGCAACAAAAAATTCTAATTCCTCCATGACTGCAAGTTATATATTTTCTTAAATTACTTCCTAAAACATATTACTATGTGATCCAATAACATTTATGAGTCGATTTATAGAGCATGTGTCTATTGGGTCTAACAGACTTTATACAGGCTGCAGTGAGCCTCACTCTGTCCCAGCCCAGTGCTCTCCATATGGGCCTCTGTTACAGCCCTGCGCCTCAGCACCGCGCTGGACTCAAGACCCTCATAACCCCCCAGACCCCCGATGACCAGAGCGCACTCTTATGCACCCCCAACCTGGTCCCCCTCCCTCGCTATTTACTGCAGCGCTG